AATGACGTAATGCCCAGCCATCGGTTGAACAATGGTAGAGAAAATGATGTAATGCCCAGCTCCCGGTTGAACAATGGTAGAGAAAAATGACGTAATGCCCGCCTCCCGGTTGAACAATGGCAGAGAAAAATGACGTAATGCCCAGCCATCGGTTGAACAATGGTAGAGAAAAATGACGTAATGCCCGGCTCCCGGTTGAACAATGGCAGAGAAAATGACGTAAGTTCGGTTGAACAATGGCAGAGAAAAAATGACGTAATGCCCAGCCATCGGTTGAACAATGGTAGAGAAAAATGACGTAATGCCCGGCCATCGGTTGAACAATGGCAGAGAAAAATGACGTAATGCCCAGCCATCGGTTGAACAATGGCAGAAAAATGACGTAATGCCCAGCCATCGGTTTGAACAATGGTAGAGAAAAAATGACGTAATGCCCAGCCATCGGTTGAACAATGGTAGAGAAAAAAATGACGTAATGCCCAGCCATCGGTTGAACAATGGTAGAGAAAAATGACGTAATGCCCAGCCATCGGTTGAACAATGGTAGAGAAAAAAATGCCCGGCCCCGGTTGAACGTAATGCCCGGCCATCGGTTGAACAATGGCAGAGAAAAAATGACGTAATGCCCAGCCATCGGTTGAACAATGGTAGAGAAAAATGACGTAATGCCCAGCCATCGGTTGAACAATGGCAGAGAAAAAATGACGTAATGCCCAGCCATCGGTTGAACAATGGTAGAGAAAATGACGTAATGCCCGGCCATCCAATGGTTGAACAATGGCAGAGAAAATGACGTAATGCCCAGCCATCGGTTGAACAATTAGAGAAAAATGACAATGGTTGAACAATGGTAGAGAAAATGACGTAATGCCCAGCCATCGGTTGAACAATGGCAGAGAAAAATGACGTAATGCCCGGCCATCGGTTGAACAATGGCAGAGAAAAAAAACGTAATGCCCAGCCATCGGTTGAACAATGGTAGAGAAAAATGACGTAATGCCCCATCGGTTGAACAATGGCAGAGAAAAATGACGTAATGCCCAGCCATCGGTTGAACAATGGTAGAGAAAAATGACGTAATGCCCGGCTCCCGGTTGAACAATGGTAGAGAAAAATGACGTAATGCCCGGCTCCCGGTTGAACAATGGCAGAAAAAAATGACGTAATGCCCAGCCATCGGTTGAACAATAGAGATGACAATGCCCAGCTCCCGGTTGAACAATGGCAGAAAAAAATGACGTAATGCCCAGCCATCGGTTGAACAATGGTAGAGAAAAATGACGTAATGCCCAGCCATCGGTTGAACAATGGTAGAGAAAAATGACGTAATGCCCAGCCATCGGTTGAACAATGGTAGAGAAAAATGACGTAATGCCCAGCCATCGGTTGAACAATGGTAGAGAAAAATGACGTAATGCCCAGCCATCGGTTGAACAATGGTAGAGAAAAATGACGTAATGCCCGGCCAATCGGTTGAACAATGGCAGACAAAAAAATGACGTAATGCCCAGCCATCGGTTGAACAATGGTAGAGAAAATGACGTAATGCCCGGCTCCCGGTTGAACAATGGCAGAGAAAAATGACGTAATGCCCAGCCATCGGTTGAACAATGGTAGAGAAAAATGACGTAATGCCCAGCCATCGGTTGAACAATGGTAGAGAAAAATGACGTAATGCCCGGCTCCCAGTTGAACAATGGCAGAGAAAAATGACGTAATGCCCAGCCATCGGTTGAACAATGGTAGAGAAAAATGACGTAATGCCCAGCTTCCGGTTGAACAATGGCAGAGAAAAATGACGTAATGCCCAGCCATCGGTTGAACAATGGTAGAGAAAATGACGTAAAAGCTCCCGGTTGAACAATGGCAGAAAAAAATGACGTAATGCCCATCATCGGTTGAACAATGGTAGAGAAAATGAAATGCCCGGCCCCCGGTTGAACAATGGTAGAGAAAAATGACGTAATGCCCAGCCATCGGTTGAACAATGGTAGAGAAAAATGACGTAATGCCCGGCTCCCGGTTGAACAATGGCAGAGAAAAATGACGTAATGCCCAGCCATCGGTTGAACAATGGTAGAGAAAAATGACGTAATGCCCAGCCATCGGTTGAACAATGGTAGAGAAAAATGACGTAATGCCCAGCCATCGGTTGAACAATGGTATGCCCCAGCCATCGGTTGAAAAATGAGAGTAATGCCCAGCCATCGGTTGAACAATGGTAGAGAAAATGACGTAATGCCCGGCTCCCGGTTGAACAATGGCAGAGAAAAATGACGTAATGCCCAGCCATCGGTTGAACAATGGTAGAGAAAAAATGACGTAATGCCCAGCCATCGGTTGAACAATAGAGTAATGCCCAGCTTCCGGTTGAACAATGACAGAGAAAATGACGTAATGCCCAGCCATCGGTTGAACAATGGTAGAAAAAATGACGTAATGCCCAGCCATCGGTTGAACAATGGTAGAGAAAAATGACGTAATGCCCAGCCACCAATGAATGGCAGAGAAAATGACGTAGCACAGCCAGAACAATGGTAGAAAAAATGACGTAATGCCCAGCCATCGGTTGAACAATAGTAGAGAAAAATGACGTAATGCCCGGCCCCCGGTTGAACAATGGCAGAAAAATGACGTAATGCCCAGCCATCGGTTGAACAATGGTAGAAAAATGACCGGTAATGACGTAATGCCCAGAGCTCCCCGGTTGAACAATGGAGAAAATGAGAAAAAACAATGGTAGAGAAAATGACGTAATGCCCGGCTCCGGTTGAACAATGGTAGAGAAAAATGACGTAATGCCCAGCCATCGGTTGAACAATGGTAGAGAAAATGACGTAATGCCCGGCTCTCGGTTGAACAATGGCAGAGAAAAATGACGTAATGCCCAAAAAATGGTAGAGAAAAAATGACGTAATGCCCAGCCGGTTGAACAATGGTTGAACAATGCCCGGCTTCCGGTTGAACAATGGCAGAGAAAATGACGTAATGCCCAGCCATCAGGTTGAACAATGGTAGAGAAAAATGACGTAATGCCCGCCCCCGGTTGAACAATGGTTGAACAATGGCAAGCAGAAAAATGACGTAATGCCCAGCCATCGGTTGAACAATGGTAGAGAAAAATGACGTAATGCCCAGCCCCGGTTGAACAATGGCAGAAAAAATAATGCCTAATGTTGAACAATGGGAGAGGAAGAAAAATAATGCCCAGTTGAACAATGGCAGAGAAAAATGACGTAATGCCCAGCCATCGGTTGAACAATGGTAGAGAAAAATGACGTAATGCCCGGCCATCGGTTGAACAATGGTAGAGAAAATGGAATGCCCAGTGGTTGAACAATGGCAGAAAAATGACGTAATGCCCGGCTCCCGGTTGAAGAATGGCAGAGAAAAATGACGTAATGCCCAGCCATCGGTTGAACAATGGAGAAAAATGACGTAATGCCCAGCCATCGGTTGAACAGTGGTAGAGAAAAATGACGTAATGCCCGGCTCCCGGTTGAACAATGGCAGAGAAATGACGTAATGCCCAGTCATCGGTTGAACAATGGTAGAAAAAAATGACGTAATGCCCAGCCACCAAATTGAAAATGGCAGAAAATGACGTAATACCCAGCCATCCATTGAACAATGTTAGTGAAAAATGGCGTAATGCCCAACCATCGGTGGAACAGTGGTAGAGAAAAATGACGTAATGACCGGCTCCCAGTTGAACAATGGCAGAGAAAAATGACCTAATGCCCGGCTCCCGGTTGAAGAATGGCAGAGAAAAATGACGTAATGCCCAGCCATCGGTTGAACAATGACAGAGAAAAATGACGTAATGCCCAGCCATCGGTTGAACAATGACAGAGAAAAATGACGTAATGCCCAGCCATCGGTTGAACAATAGTAGCGAAAAATGACGTAATGCCCAGCCACCGAATTGATAGTGTTAGAGAAAAATGACTTAATACCCAACCATCCATTGAACAATGTTAGAGAAAAATGGCGTAATGCCTAGCCATCGGTGGAACAGTGGTAGAGAAAAATGACAATGCCCAGCTACTGGTTGAACGGTGGGTAAACACTTGTAACTACTTTTATATCTAAGTTAAATATTACATACCAATTATTTGCAAATTTTGACTCAGAAGCTCCGTTAGAAGAGTTAAAATTGTTAAGTAAAGCAAAGATTAAAGAGTTAAGCCTGTTTTCGAATACTATTTTAAATCTAAATTACAATAGCTCGAAACGGTTTAAAAACCTTAACCAAAAGATACTGATTTCAAATTAATTAAACCTTGAATATTAACATTCACAGTCGAGTTCTGGATTAATTCAATTTTCAAGACGATTACTGAATTCCAGCTTCATTTATTTAGATTACAGATCATTGGTCTTCAACTTTTATTAATCTTCATTGATTTCATTATTTATTTATATTTAGAATTAGTAGAATCATACGACCAATGTATTTACTTTAGAAACGTTGATCTTTGCTTTATCAATGTTAATTATTTTTAATTTAATTTAGTTTGTCTTATTATTTACATTATTTAAATTTGGACGAACGTCCTCATCTTTCTTGTTATAATCACAAGGTTTCGACCGTTATGTCCATCGACCTTCTTCAAGTATCTGTCGATCTGGGTATCTTTCAGGAGATTTAGAACTTCTGCTTAATGTTGGGAACCAAACTCTTGTCGTCCCACTTCCCATTTCTCGCAATATCTTGTCTCATTTCTAATCGGAATTACTCTGAATCCTTGTACTAGAAATTAAAAACATAAATTGCTTTTTTAATCTATTCTAAGGGTAACGTTTTATTTTTTGTTTTTTAGTACGATTAAAACATCAAATTATTAAGGTTCAATTGTTATGGTTCGATTATTAAGGTTTAATTATTATGGTTTGATTATTAAGGTTCTATTATTAAGGTTTAATTATTAAGGTTCGATTATTAAGGTTTAATTATTAAGGTTCGATTATTAAGGTTTAATTATTAAGGTTTCATTATTATGGTTCGATTATTATGGTTTGATTATTACGTCCATGTATACCGATCACCTTCGCGGAAGCATTCGGCAATTGTCTCATTTCTGCATGTTGGCATTGCAGTGATGACTGGTTTCCTGGCTCTGACCTGGACGATAACTTCATCTTTTAGCAAGTATCTCTTTATACAAGGCGTACACAATACAATATTAAGCCCTTAATATGCACACACCACAGAACCATCGTGTCCAAACAAGAAATTAAACCTTCCGCCAAACATTAATGCAACTGCTGAAGCCCTTCCATTCGTTTCACAAACCTTTGTTTTTGTAGTTCATGCTTTCTTTCTTTCTTTCTTGTGTAGGCAATCTTTTTTTTTCTTTCTTTCTTTCTCTCATTTTTCGGAGGCCTTTGTTAATTTTTCTTTCATAACCATTCTTTCTTTCTTTCTTCTTAGGTCCTTCTCTTTTTACCTCTGTGTTTTGCCTTATACCTTCTTTCTTTCTTTCGTGTGTAGGCAATCTTTTTTTTTCTTTCTTTCTTTCTCTCATTTTTCGGAGGCCTTTCTTAATTTTTCTTTCATAACCATTCTTTCTTTCTTTCTTTCTTTCTTTCTAGGTCTTTCTCTTTTCAGCTCTGTGTTTTGCCTTATACCTTCTTTCTTTCTTTCTTTTTTTCTTTCTTTTTTTCTCTCATTTTTCGGGAGCCTTTCTTTTCTCACTTCTGCGTTTTGTCGTGTGCCTTCTTTCTATCTTCTTCCATTCTTTTCTGTTATTTTAGTTTCGTTGGCCTTTCTTTCTTTGTTTTTTTTCTTTCTTTCTTGTTTGCCTTCTTTATTTTTGAATTTTTCATGCACTTCTATTGTTTGTTACTTTCTTTCATTCATCTATCATTCTTTTTATTCTCTTTCTCTCTTTCTCTCTTCGGCTTCGTTCATGTATTCGATTCATGTTATTCACTCTCTTCATTTAATATTCATAATTTTCCCTAGGCTTTCTCTGCCCAATTCTTCTTTCATTTCTACTTTCAATAAATATTTTAACCTTCCTTCATTATTTCATTCAATCTTTTAATCATTCCTCGTCACTGAATCCTTTGTCCTGATGAACTTTTCTAAAACTTAATTATATCTATAAAAAACATTAACCATAGACAATTTATCATTTTAGTTCAGGCAACCTAAAAGCTCTCCTCTTTGAAGGTAATGCTTAACGAGCTAGTTCTATGAGAAAGCCACACTAACACAGCCCAATTAAGTGCCAAGACACGTGATGCAGTGTGAACGGTTTATTAGATATCAGTTTCGACAGGTTATCTATGAAATGCTCCAGAAAACGTTATTAGGAGTTAGAGGGACCGAGCCACAGTATGGCAAACGTCGAAACTCAACCTTATCTTTGTTCTAAAATCGAAGTATTGATGATGATACCTGAGTGATTGATCGATTCCTTTTCTACAGCTTATCAACCCAATGCAGGTTATTTAAAGCAAGACAATATTTTGAGATCGTAAAAATATTTTCCAAAGATAATAATGGTTCAGGGATACAAGTCTTACTAATTAACCCATAACTGAGGAGAAAAAAGGGGCGATCCATATCCTTCCCAAGCATATTGACACGTAAGTGAATATAACGAACCCAACCAGATTTGGAACTCTGATTAACAATTCCCAGCCATTATCCATTGCGCCACTTGTACATCCGAGCTTAAAGCACCTGGTATTCCAATGTGGTCACCCATCGAGCTAGTAACAATGTTCAACGTTGCTTAGCTTCGGTGATTGCACGGGAACCGCTATTTCAACGCGAGTTGGTCGTTAGCTGGTTATAATGATACTCACTCACACACAAACACACGCCCGCTCGCATCGTATAATATCTCACACGTTGTTTATATACATCTAATTCTCTTTTTATATATATATATATATATATATATATATATATATATATATGAAACAATATTTATTAAAATCGATCGACAGTGTCTTTCTAATTTTTATACATTTTTCGAGCTTATACATTTTATACATGCAGATAAAATTTATGGGAAAAATGGCAAATGTTAATAATGTTTTTGTCCGAGTATTTTTGATTATCTCCTGCCATTATCAGGAACGTTAATGTTATCAATGTGATAAAGAAAAATTTTTAATTGCCTTAATAATAGTATTTTAAGAACGCTTCACTTATTTGGATATACGTGCCTGGTATATTGCGTCTGTTTATATAAAAGTTACAGATTTTAATTGTATTTTAATTTTTTTTTTTTTTTTTGCTGTTAAGACTTACACAAATTGATAAACTTAGCGAATAAAATGTAAATGAATATATAATATTTTTATTAAATAATGTTAAGGAAATATATAAAATGAATGTTATAAAATATATGGTTTATAATGAGTTTTTTTTCTATTTTTTTTTCTTCTCTCGTGTTAGGTCTAAATATTTCCAGTTTTTCTTCACCGGGTGTCCTGTTGGGTATTTGAGTAAAATCTCCAAACATCATTTCTTAGATTTAAACAGTCGAAAATACTCGAACAAATTATCAGGTACTCGGAACAATTTTATCCATACATTTTATCCCGAAATGCGACATACCCAAGTTGGAAAAATGTCATTACAATTTCACAAAAATTATCGTTTGATAAAAAACTGATACAAAAATGTCTGAATTAAGTCTCTCTCTCTCTCTCTCTCACTCTCTCTCTCACTCTCTCTCTCTCTTTCTTTCTTTCTCTCTCACTCTATCTCTCTAATATATCGAGTTCATACAAAGTGGGCCGATCCTTGCTGGAGAGCACATATTCTTTACTAATATTTCTCGAATACGCAGGCCGATAAACGTAATCCACTCTTTTTAAAATAAAAATAAAAACGGGGCGTCTGTTTCAAATCCAAGTATCCATGATAATAATGTTGAAATTAATAAAAATGTCGGTTTAAAAACAAATCCATCAATTTCTTAGAAATATATATATATATATATATATATATATATATATATATATATATATATATATATATATGTGTGTGTGTGTGTGTGTGTGTGTCTGTTTTAAAAATTTCAGATAGAGTATATTTGTAAATAGGCAATATGAATAATAAAAAACAAAAAGATAGCTTTGATAAAGTTTCACAGAGGACATGACACGTCGACTGAGATAACTTTCCTTTTTTCTTTATTATTCACATTATATATATATATATATATATATATATATATATATATATATATGAAAATGAAAATGGAAATGGAAAGCATAGAAAAAAAAACAAAAAAAAGACAGATGTAGAAAAATTATTTGGTATACTCCCCCATACAACCAAATGGTAAAGAACAAATTAGGACATAAATTCCTCGCATTAATAGTCAAACATTTTCCTAGTGAAAGTAAACTAAGTACTATTTTCAATAAAAAAAACACTAAAATTATAGCTGTACAGAAAACTTAGAAAAACTCATTAAGAACCATAATGCTAATATCTTAAATAAACACTTATACCAATACCAAAAACATTTAGACAATGGAAAAATAAAGATAAAAACTGATGGAAATAAACAAAAACTATGTAACTGTAGAAACTCTCATAATTGCCCTCTACAAAATGAATGTCGCACTGAATCATTAGTATACCAATGCAATATCTCTTCGATTGAAAGTCCTGATAACATAAAAAATATATATAGGTTGCACTAGCCATGAATTCAAAAAAAGATTCAACCAACATCAAACTTCATTTAGAATAAATAAAATATAAAATCAGACATCTCTCTCAAAATACTTCTGGCATCTAAAGAAATCAAATAAAACACCTACAGTAAAATGGAAGTTAATAAGAAAAGCTAGAATATGTAGGTCATTAAACGACCCATGTCCTTTGTGCATACACGAGAAACTATATAATACTAAGTTTATAAAAAATAAAAATTTACTGATTCAGAGAAATTAAATAGCTATTATATGCCGTCATTGTCAAAAACTTTCCTTAAATAATATTTAAAAATTTAAAAATAAATTTAAAAAAGGGGCAATCAGGTAGTATACATATTTATATTTAACATGAAAAATAATGTTATATACTGTAAGTAATTATATTACATTTACTTGTTTTTTCTTTAAAAAAAAAAGTCTATTGGAATAACAGTGAAAATATTTTAAAGTCGTATTTAAAATTGTAGTTAAAACGAATTCTAACCTAAGCATCTTTTAAAAATTGCAGTTAAATAAAATGTATTCTAACCTAAACACCTCTAAAAAAAAGTATTACCGGCACTTAAATGAATCCAATAAAACACCTACTGAAAAATGAAATTATAACGAAAAACTAGATGATGTAGGCCTGTGAACGACCCATGTCCTTTGTACATACATATGAAACTTTATTACTAACTTTATATATATTTAAAGTAAATAAATTAATTAATTAATAAATAAAGTTTACTAAATCTGAGAAATGAATTAGCTATTTTTGCAGTAAGTGCCCTAAATATTATTTAAATAATATTTAAATATAGAAGTTTAATATCGTAATATACATATACTTTGATATGGAAAAATAATTTTATTTACTATAAGTAATTTCAAATACATTTCCTTCTGTTATAAAGTAATATAGTCTATTAAAACTAACAATGAAAATATATTAAAGTTGTAATTAAAATTGTAGTTAAATAAAATGAATTCTAACCTAAACTTCTTTTACTTAGTACTACACGCATGAATCCAATAAAACACCTATAGTAAAATAAAATTAATATGAAATGCCAGAAGATGTAAGCTTATGAATGACCCATGTCCTTTGTACTTACATGAGAAACAATATATTACTAGGTTTATACATATAAAAAATAACGTTTAAAAAAATAAGTTTACTAAATCAGTGAAATTAAGTAACTATTTTTGCCGTCATTGTCATAAATTTTACTTAAATAATATAAAAAAAATGTAACCTAATATACATACTTGATGTAAAAATAACCCTACATGTTATAAGGGATTTTAATACAATTAACTGTTCTTAAAAAAAAAAAATATAGTATAATAAAAATTAAAAATGAGAATATTTCAAATCGTAGTTAAATAAAAAGTATTCTAATCTGAACACCCCCGAAAATCTTTAAATTTACAAATAGAAATGTACAAATACAAAATATAGGAAAAATCCAGAAAATGGATTTCAGCGGCAAGATCATTGAGTAATATTGAAATACTTCATTTTTCTCCCCAAATTATAACAAAGATCAATCATCATTTTTTTTTTTACAAAGTAGCATATATATATATATATATATATATATATATATATATATGGAATTAATGGCCTTTTCGAACTTATACTATTTGTTATTATTTAGTTGTTTTGACATTTTGTGCCTTCGTGGTAAAACAAGCCTTGCTTGAAAGTGATTTCCGAGAATAAAAGGAATATATGTTCGATTCTTGTAAGGGGCACGTGTGCCTTTATAAGACTTTCAGTCTCTAGGCTGGTAGTTCTTAATTTCATTGTTTAAAAAAAAATCCAAATATGTGTACCCACAAAATATAACGTTCATAGTGATAAGAAATTCGCTTCATTCTAAACGTTGCCGATAATTAATAAGCGGATAGAAAACGATAAAACGGGCGAATTTGTCACGTAAAAAGTACTGCGTTTAAATACAGTCTGTCTGAACTTTTACGGAGTGGCGCTATAAACTCACCATCGTCAATTCTTGAGAACAAAGAAAATGCAAAAATAATTTTCATATGATTAGTTTTTAATCAACGCTTTTTAAAACAATAAAGAAAAATTGAAGGTAGTTAAAATAATAGCGGTGTCAAAGGAAAAGCCGTCCTTTTGACACTCGGGCTTTTTCAGGGCACGTTTGCCCATGTTTCGCATAACATATACGGAGAAAAATAAGTTAATTGATAACTTAGATATAATTAAAGATGAGTAATAAAGATGTTAAGTAAAAGTTTCCTTTGTGTTTTCATTGCTCACATGTTCAGTCCATGGCATTCTCAGTATCCTTCTGTAGAACCACATATCTGTTGTTTCATGTCTCTTCATCATTTGTGAGGAGATTGTCCAGTATTCACAGCCCCAGAGGAGGATTGATCGATAGTACAGTCCAGTACTCTTAATTGTTTCTAACAATATTTTTGAGATTTTTAAATACTTTGCCCAGTTTTTGCATCGGATCTGTCGCTATCCAAATGGGCCTTCGGATATACGTGTCGCACTTTCAGTCCTCTGTTAATACGCTTCCCAGATACTTAACTTGTTGATGCTGTTTGATTCGGTATCTCTAATTTGAATATTGGTTATACATCTACTTTCAATAGCCAGCAAGGCTGATTTTTTTTTACAACACGCCCTAGACAGTGGCATCATCTTCCTGGTAGACGGAGCTGGCGACCTTTAAAATATTACTGTTATCTACAGAAGCTAACTATGGATTGAAAAAGTGACCTCGTCTTGACAAGGAGAGTTGACACGCTAATCGAACACCTTTTCTTTTGAGCTAAATCCGCAGATGTACATTGTCTTTAGACATGCGCTTACTTTCTCTTTTTCTCTCTTTAGATATTAAACCTACTTAAATAGTAAATACTGTTTCTTTCTATTCAAAAGCTGTCGAGACATTTTTTTTGACCTCACGTGACTTCGGCCAGTCCGCCATAAATTCGTGGTTGCATTAAAACATATTACACTAAATGTATTTATCACCGTAAATTACAATTAGAAAGAGACAACTGAAATAAAAAATTTTTTTAAAAAAATGAAGACTCGACGAATTTGGTCCTAATATAAATATCAAAGCAGAGGTAATGGAAACAGGGGAAACGAAAAGTAACCTACTTAATGATTTTGAGTGAGAGGGTGGTAAAATAAGGACAAAGATTTATAGAACAAAAAGAGAGGAATTTGTGTAGAGCCATATTTTTCTACATTTTAAAATGCCATCAAACAAATAAGAAATAACTAAAATGGTATTGTTCGTGTTGATATTTCTTGAAGTAAAATCAAGTATAAAATGTCAAAATTGCGAGATCTAATTACATTTCAAATTCTCTTCTGACAATTAAAGATGTTTACTAAATTTATGTATCCAAAATCAGGGCAGCGAATATTAGAAAATGACTTCATATTACTGCAAGGAAACGTGAAGCAACAGAGATGTGGTTCTACAGAAGGATGCTGAGAATACCATGGGCGGATTACTTATATGCAAAAGGGAAACAAGAAAGGTACTTATATATAAAATAACAAAGAATTGAAATTTCTGAAACACATAATGAGGAAAGAAGGGTTAGAAAATCCGTCACTCACAGGAAATATTGCGTGCAAGAAGGACACAGATACATAACAAGCTCGTTTCTATGGGAAGCAGAAGGGGTATGGTGAAAAGTCAAAACTTATTCAGAGCTACAGAGGATAGGAAGTTGTGGAAAGACATGATCATAATACGTCCTGAAGTGACGAAAAGATACGAAAGCAATCTCCCCCGGGAATAAACAAACAGTACTAATTACACACAGAAAAATATATTAGTTTATTTTTGGAAAAATACTGATAGATATGCAACGTTAACAATTAGGCAGTAATAAATAATTATGAATTTTTTTTTAATCTCACCCTAATGATTCTCCTAATTAAATGAGAAATTGCCCAACATCAGTAAGTGCAAAGAAATCATCTCGTATTTTGAAATAGAAAATAAAATAAATGAAAAAACAATAACATGTAAATGTGTATGTAAATATTTAAA